ATATGAATGTAATTTTTTGATATCTAATTGTTTTCTTCTAATGTTGGAACTATATCTGTTTTATAAAACCAGAAATTACTACAGACAGCCACTCCTCCACTGAGCGCTTAGAGAAAAATTTAATTATCTCATAAATTAATTAATACATTCAGTCAACAAGTCCCTATGTGAAAAGCATATATGTCTGTTTTTTTCAATGTCTTTCATGGGTTGGTCACTGTGCACATCTTATTTAGTTTAGAGAGTGCCCTCCCCAAAGCATACAATTCCACTACTTCATGAGTTCCCAAAGATAAATCCAAAGAGTTGTTAATAAAAATGTATAATTGGAAGAGATGGACAGAAAAAGAAAGATGCATTAGAGAAACAGGAGGTGATAACATTGGAAGTAAAAGTCAAGCCAGCTATGGGTGGAATAAGAAGAAATACCTGGCTGTCCCAATGGGAATGTTGTTTCTCATTGTTAGAAACTATCGCCAGAAGTAATATCATTGCTATAAATGATTGTGATGAAATATTTTCCAGTCAAAAGGAGGAAAACTTAATCTTCACATCTAGGAGATGGATAACATGGCTCAATGGACAAAACACTAAAAGGTGAGGAGTGGAGTTCAGATAACCAAGAGTCAGTTCTGAAAAAGAATACAATAATGAATGACCCCTTGTGTTCATGAGGCAGAGAGAGTGGATCCTCTAAAAAGCTGGCTAGATGAGCTAAAATTTCAACTGAGAGACTTTGTTTCTATGTGTATGATGGTGAACTATTGAGAAAGATCTCTCTGGTCTCCAGATGCACATTCACACATGCGTGCACACACAGACACATATGTACACTTGTGTAAATACACATATGAGAACATGCATACACACAATTCACATACACGTGCCAAAATTACACTTCATATAAAAAGAAGTCTCAGATATTACAACAAAAGTTCAAGGATGAAGTATTGGACTCTGGTTCTAACCAGATGGAGCTTAACAATGACAATTCTCAAAGGCAGAGAATATGCTTTCTTAACTGTTAACATGTCTAGTATATTAAAGAATAATGTGCTAATAAAATATTTTCAATTTTTTTTATACCTTGATAATGGGCCATAGGACAGTATTTTTTAATTAATTGGCAGTGTCAAAGATTATAAAGAAAATTGTCTTTTATAGTTGATTCTGAAAATAGGTTATCATGGTTTTAATCTGTGTGTTTTCATTGTGCATAGGCATTTATATGGTCGTGTAAAGCTGTACAAAGCCTGAAGTATTTCTTTGAATAAGTGAATTAAGAAAAAAGGTAAAGAACACTAGCAAAGAAGTTTATTCTCTATAGTAGCACGCTTTGTGTAGTGTTCAGGGACCCCATGTCTCTGTATGGTGGAGAACTTTGCAGGTAGAAAATTGATCTTTAGTGCTGAATTATGATAAATGTGGGAATGTAATGGCGATATGCTCAAATTGTGCAGAAAATAGGAGAATTGTCACTTTTATTTTTTGAATACTTTGAATAAGTCATCTCTGAATGCACATTTTGAAATAAGCTACCAATTAGGGAATTTTACACAGGTTGACATTTACTTTTAAAAAATACTAATAGAATGTTGAATTAGAATGATATAAAATTAAATCAAAAGCACTCTGTTATGCATAAATTAGAAGACTCGGTGTAGTTAAAACTTCAGTTCTTCAAAAATTGACCCATGGGAACTTGATTTATGTTAAAAAGCCTCTTAGTCAAGATTCCTAGAGATTTTTCCAAGTGTTTTCCTACATCAGATGATTCCCCTAGTAACAATTTTGACTTGATGAATGTTAAGGGAAAAAAAAGACCCTGTTTATTTTTCTAAAAAAAGTAAACAGTTTCTTAGCATTTTTAAGAGTACCAAGAAATACTGAGACCCAAATGCCAAAATGTGATGTTTAATACAATTTTCAGTAAAAAAAAATCATAGCTATCTTGTTTATAATGAAAATCAAATATCTATTTCATGTTTGAACATTTATAATTTATCATCAACCACTGGGATATCTTAAAGGTAACTTGTCCCATTCTGAAGTTACTAACACCAGTGCAGTGTGGAGCCAGCACAAATCAGATGGGTATTTTCCCTTTCCACACATACATATTTTTAAAATTTCTAAGTCTCAAATAATCCACATGTCTGGCTCTGTTCCACAAATGTTGGTGAAACACAATTTATATATTTTTAAGATTTTTTTCATCTTCTATTGATATTCATTCAAATGTGTATTTATATATTGTAACCATAATAGTAGTGATGTGATGGCATACTCTTTTAATTTCAGAACTGAAGAAATGAAGAAAGGAGAATCCTTGGGGCTCCCTGCATATCCAGCCTGGTCTATTGGTATACTCCAGATCAACCAATGGAAAACTTTCTTTAAAAACCATGGTACACAGGTTTTGAGGACAACACCTAAAGTTGACCTTTGTCTCCCATGCACATACACATACCCACCCAAATAAATACCCACAGAGACAACTGCATACACATATAGAAAAAAACTAATACTCAGTACACCATAGCAAATTTAAAAAGCTCATGATTAATATCTGTATTTTCCTAGTAAATATTTAATAGAAATGAACTCTCAGAGTGCTAGTATTTTAGAGTATTCAAAAATGTATAAGTATAAATTGGAAAGTAGAGAGATTGTGCACAGTAAAACAGGGGAAAACTCAACTCATGGATAATGTATGCCATTTGTGATGCCAATTCTGCCTGTTATGGAGGAGTATGAGATGCTCTCTAGTCTCCTGTCAGAATTAAATGCACATGAGACAGTCTTGAGTGTGTTAATGACCTTCACTTTATTTCTGTAATACCACTTATTCAAAATTATTCTTAGTTTAGTCATAACAATGTATGATTTTTATAAAAAAAATAATGAAGTCCACCTTAGATACATGAAATCCATCTTTTAATTAATATTCATTTTCTAGAACAAAGAAGTATTTGAAAATTATGAAAACTGTTTTTTTTTTTTAAGTTGGGTATTTCATTTGCCTTACTAGTTATAGTCCATTATCAAGGGAAGCTAAGACAGAAACTCAAGGCAGGAACCTGGAGGCAGGAACTGAAGTACAGACCATGGAGTAATAGTGTTTACTGGCTTGTGCCTTGAGGCTTGCTCAGCTTGCTAGAAACTAGATTTTTACATGTAAAGAATGTCACTTCATTTAATGTGTTCTAAAATTGAAACTTAGAGATTTTTCCATAAAACTTTCTAAACATTAAATGCTTAAGCAATTATTAGTGTTGCAGATAAAATTAAATTCTAAGAATAGATTGGATTATTTAATCTTTAATTCAGTGATTGTTGTGTTATAGTTTTATAATCGATTATGTTTTTATTTAAACAATGAAAGACAATGAGTAAAAGAATGAAAGAGTACATTAACCTACTTGCAAAAAGAACTGTGTGACTTCAGATGATCTGTCAATCATGATTGAAACAAGACTGTGGAGGTCTGATGGAAGGGTCTACGAATGCAACACAAGTCAGAAAGAGATCATTAGCTATAAACCCATGAGCCTAAAACCATTAGCAATCAATAACCATGGCTAAAGTGACTATTTGGGAAAATAAATTTGTAAGATTAAAAAAAAATATAAGAGCCAGACAGTGATGGTGCACACCTTTAATCACAGCATTTGTGAGGCAGAAGCAGGTGGATCTCTGTGAGTTCAAGACCAGCCTGGTCTACCAAGTGAGTTCCAGTACAGCCAGGGATATCCAGAAAAACCTTGTCTTGAAATCAACAACAGCAACAAATTAAGTTGATGCTTAGAGAGATGAGTCAACAGTTAAGAATACTTACTGTTCTTGCAGTGTTCCTAAAATCAGTTTCTAGTTTCCAGTTCAGACAGCCTGTAATTCCAGTTCCAAGAAATTCAAGGAATCTCGGGGATCTAATGTCCTCTTCTTGTCTCAGTGGGGGGTGGGAGGGAAGTTACATTCACATGTACATACCCATCAATGGCATATAAACCTCAGTTTTTATTCCAAGTTGATTTTATTACAAATTGGCTTAAATTTCTTGATCCTGATTCTTAAATATAGTTATATTTTAAGTGGAAGTTATCTTAGAGTTATATTCTTCTTCATTTTGCAACAGAGAAGAAGAGTTTTATCAAGGCAAAGGTATTCATGTTGTTGGCGTGTTTTGGTATCACTTTTTTGATTTCTAATCTTAAATTGGATATACTTTTATATCAAACCAAATTGCTCTGTAGTAGGAATCTTAAAAGTTCTTATTAATAAAATCAGACCTGGTGCCAGGTATTGGGGTGAAGCTGGAAGATCAGAGAAACAGAACAAGCCACAGCTACTTCACCGTGCTAATTCCTCAGCTGATCCTGTTTCCTCAGACTGGATGCCTCTGAGTCCTCATCTGAATGGCTCTAAGCTGATCTGTTGCTCAAAAGCCTAAAAGCTTAACCAGCTAAATTCTTCTAGTTTCTGGTCTTCACGCCTTATATATCTTTCTGCTTTCTGTCATCACTCCCTGGGATTAAAGGCTCACTTTCTGGGATTAAAGGCATGTGTCACCATGCTTGGCTGTATCCTTGTGGCATTGAACTCACAAAGATTCAGACAAATTTCTGCCTCTGGAATGCTAGGACTAAAGGCATGTGTTAACACTGCCTAACCTTTATGTTTAATATTGTGGCTGTTCTCTTCTCTGACCCCAGATAAGTTTATTAGCATGCACAATATTTTGGAGAACACAATACCACCACAATCCTCTATCATGACAGAGGATAGTTACTTGTTTTAAAACTACATTCAAATGATGGAGATTATATTTGTTTCCAATCTATGAAAGATACCAGAAATTGGTTCATTGTATCCATGGTTTGGAAAAAAAAAAGTAAGTGTATGGTTGGAGATGATCCTTGCCGGGGACCAGTCTCAGCAATTTCGGGGGTCTGAAGGATGGGATACCTGGAAGGTGCAGTAACGACTCAGAGACAATGTTTGTGCAAGCTGACAGGTGACTTCGGGCTTCTGCAATCAATTGCTAAGTAGCTTTTCTACTACAGTTTCTTTAGCTTCCCTAGCTTCTCTTAGCTTCTCTAACTTCTCTTAGCTTCTGCTTTTGCCCTGGTAACCTCAGTCTTTTATTATCATAAGTAAAGGGAAAACAGAAAGAAAAGGGAAATTCACCCAATACAAAATGTCCTCATGATTTCAAAGGTTATTCTTAGAAAATCACCAATATATTCTTCATCATCTTTTACTAAACACAGGAACTATCCCAAACTTAACACCAAAGCAAGCATAATCTATTTTTGTTATTAATGATTATACAATCTTCTGAGCACCTGACCCAGAAGCTAGCAACATGCAATTTCACATAAAAGGTAAAAATAAGAACAACGGTCAATGTACCAGACAGTCATTTCCTTCTCGCACATCCTGCTCTGACCTCAAGACCCCTGCAGCCACCTAAGTTCCTCCTCAGTCCTCTGCAAATACCAAGCCCCATGACTGGTGGGCTCCAATGACCTCAGACAAGAAATCTGTTCCTGCAAGTCAGCAACTTCTGTCCTTCTATATCCTAACAATTCCAAGGAAGACTTAATCTAATTTTTAAAGCTTCTATGAAAGGAAGCTTACCTTTCTTGGCAGCTGTTTTCAATCTAGGAACCCATTAAAACTTGTATCAATCACTCTATCAATTGTCACATTATCTCCACACTCCTTCAGGAAGAATAAAAAAATATCTGAATTAAAGTTGCCATCTCCCTTTCTTGGTGAAGGCCACTATTTTCCTCCTATTCTAGGTTCCCCCACTTCTAGTTTGTCATCCCATCTATATATTATTCCATCCACAGTCTTCAGTCAATACCCTTTAGGGTCTCAAGTTTTATACAGTGTCCTTGGATTATCCTCAGAAACTGAATTAATTATTCATCATGGCCAATTTGAGTCCATTGTGTTGATACACATCATACCATGTGCTATAGTTGTCCACATATTCGGTACAGTTTATCCAAGCCTAAAAAGCTTCCCCAGGCTGCAGGTTCTTTTCCATGAACTGCTTAACTGCCTTAACCCCAGCCTGGGTGATCATCTCTGTATAATTTCCTGTGAAATTTACTTCACTCCTTTCCTCTATCACAGAAACCACCATTGATCTAGGAACACAGAATATGAAGATCAGATAGAAGAAAAAGACTAGTATTACAAGAAATATTTATATGGAGGAGGACATGACATGTGTATGTCATAAAGCATGACCTTGAGACATGTAGGCATTTCTGCCTTGGCCCTCTAAAGGCATGCTAAGCAGAAGATGCAGAGGGGAACACACAGAGGGTTGATGGTCCACAATCTTGGGTCCCCTTTTCTCCAGTCTCTGCTGGCATCACATCAGCCATCTTATATGTCATCCCCGGCAGATTCTGACAAAAGCTGCCCTTGAAATGAAAGATTACATGAGTTTATATCATGCTAGTTCACTTCCACTGTCAACGAATGTCTTTTTGAGGTGACCTTGGCCAGACTTTCAGCAGAGCTCTATCTTTTGAACAAGAGCTTGTCCCTACTCAGGCAATCATAATTGTACAAATTGCCTCAGCACTGTTGACACCAGCTGGCTTAAAGGCCATTTTCAGTAAGTATTATAGCCAGAGAGTTTGTGGTGGCTTAAATATGAGCCCCATACATTTGAACGCTTGGTCATAAGGGAGTGGAGCTAGTTGACAGAGATTAGACAATATGGCCTTGTTGGAGGAAGCGTGTCACTAGGAATAGGCTTTAGAATTTCAAGTGCTCAAAACAGTCCTGGTGTTCTCTTCCTGCTGCTTGCTGAGATGTAGAACTCTGACCTACCTCTCCAGTACTAGGTCTGCCTGCACCATGCTCTCCACCTTGATGATAATGGACTAAAACAATCATCTGAATGTTAGCAAGTCCTAACTAAATGCTTTCTTTTACAAGAGTTACTGTGCTCATGGCATCTCTTCACAAAAATAGAACTTTAAATAAGGCAAGGTTGTATATATCAAAGTTTCATATAAATCATACATATTTTGTATATGTCAGTTAGAGCTCTCACCTCATTGCCAGAAATGTAGTGCTCTGTCAAATAAAAAAGAAGCAGTCTACACACACACACACACACATACACACACACGTTCATTACCCAAAGTAAATGATAATACTCTTTAATAGAGAGGAAATTTTCATAAAATTCTCTTTTATGAAAAAATTAAATCTGTATTTATCAATTGGAGGAATACTTAAAATACAGCACAGGGTTATTTTGTCACATAATGTTCAATTTTCAGCTCTCTGGCTTAGTTTATGTGGATAATGCATTCTATTTCCACTATTTACATCTCTTCTGTTCTTCATTATTTGGATAGAACTAAAGTTAATGAAGAACACAATGGTTTTCGTTAAGAACATTCATCTTTCAGTCAGTAGTAGGTACTGATTTATACTTCCAAAGGCTACTGTATTGAAGACAAAGGATGGTACTTTCACAGTTGAGTGATTTCCATTAACTTCCCTCTGTCCATTTAGTCAGTACCTATTTTTGAATTTTCTCTAAAGCTAACCTGTCACCTTTTAAATTCTGACTTTGGTGTTTTTCTTGTTTCAGCTACCAACACTTTTGTGCACTCTTCGCTGGAGGAGAGGCTATGCACCGTTCCCCTTGACAAAGGAATTCAGTCATCCAAATCAGGGAAGTCCTGTGTACTTGGCTGTTCTCCTAGAATGGGTGCCATTCAGGATGTCAGCTACCAAGCTGGTACTTAATGTGATCTGATTTCCAGGCTCCATTTCTCTGTGTTCAGAAAGGTGCAGCAAAACTAAACCCTGACCCTACCTTTCTACCACAGGATTTGTTCATTATGAATTTTGTACTCCAAAATTAACAGATCAGTTTAACTTTATAATCAACTAATGGATTTATACAATATTGACTAATTTTTGATGCTGTTTTCTTCTTTGGCTAGAACTAAATATTGATCTCTGTTTATTACTATAGGTGATTTCTGTTCTAACTTCAGTTACTCTTAGTAGAGTATGAAGTCATGGACAGCAGAAATTTGATTGATTATATTTTTATGTTTAAGAGGTTCAGGTCCATGGAAGGGACTGAACACTTTTAAACTGACTGATTGAAATATCCACTTGGTTTTACACATGCATTAGAATAATAGGACTATATTAGTGGTTTTAATTTAAAGATGTACACACAAATTTGTGTTTTATATGTTAAATTTAATTCTAAGTATTATTATCAAATAATTACATTTTAAACTCTATGTGAATCATTTTGTTAGAAGTTAATTGTCTTATCCAGTCATTGGTTCTTTATGGTGCAATGTCAATCTGCCTGGTAAATATGCCTACTGTACAGCAGGTAAGATGGGGTAAACCAATTACTCTCTTGACTGCATTTGAGTCCTGTTTCACAGGAAGGAATCCATGCCTGGTCCTGTAAACAAACTCATGGCCAAGGAAGGCATAGGCCTTAGAGAAAAATCCATATTGTTCTTTTACTAAGTGGTCATGTTGTCAAACAGCCTTCTAGATATTTGTGGATATATCCATAGGCTTGTTCTGATCCCAACCTTGGTGAGACACTTCTTAGTGCAGTGAGCATGGATCATGGCAGAGATGTGTTGCTGTCCAAAGTGCTGACAGTAAGTGACTGAATACTCAGCCACATTAGGGACAGTATCACAGAAGAGGAGGCAGAAAGCAAGAGCTGCAGGATGGGGAAGAGTGACCTGAAAGGCTATTCTGCTGTGGGATGGTCTTCCTGTGTTCCGTGAATGTGTCACTACCACTGGTGAGTAAAGAAGCTGTTTTATCCTACAGGAAGGCAGGGTAGAGCCAGGTGGGAAATACAAGCAGAGATACAGGGAGAAGAAGGGCATGTCAGGGGGAGTCACCAGCCAGCCACTGGAGGAGCAACATGTATTAGAACACAGGTAAAGCCATGAGAGCCATTAATTTTACATTAATCTATGTAAAAACATAGATTCATAGAAATGGGTTAATTTGAGTAGCAAAATCTAGTTAGTTATAAGCCTGAGCAATAGGCCAAATAGTTTGTAATTAATATTAAGCTTCTGAGTGATTATTTTAAAAGTGGCTACAGGACCAGGTGGGAAAGAAAAGCCTCTATCTATATCTGTACCATCCTCTGGATATCACATGAATGTTGAACACTTAAATTCACAATAGCTCTGCATACCTATATAAGATCTGAGCCCCAGAGTAAGTCATCTAAAAACTCTAGCGTGGATTGCAGAGGGGTTATAAGACCCCACCTCTAGTTAAATTATTGGCAGTTTATTACTGCTAGGGAGAGGGAAAATCATTTTTTGCACACCCATAAGCATGTGGACAACAAAAATAAGAGTCAATGGGTTAAAATTAATTACTTAATTAATTTAAAAGGGGGACATTAAGTTGGAAAGAAATGTGATGGGGTTCTAAGGAAAGTTTGGAATGGGGGAGATATCATTAAATATAGACACTTTATACATGTACGGAATTTTTAAAGAATAAACATATTTTTTTTTTAAAAAAAGTTGATGTCTAGCTTTTTGAGTTCTTTATATATTTTGGAGATCAATACTCTGTCAGATGTGGAGTTGGTGAAGATCTTTTCCCATTCTGTAGGCTGTCGTTTGGTCTTATCGACTGTGTCCTTTGCTCTACAAAAGCTTCTCAGTTTCAGGAGGTCCCATTTATTAATTGTCTCTCTCAGTGTCTGTGCTACTGGTGTTATATTTAGGAAGTGGTCTCCTGTGCCAATTCGTTCCAGACTACTTCGGGATCTGTCCCCAGTCTATGGGCAGGCTTCTGGAATCCGGTGCCTGAGGTGTGACACCTTGCACAGCCTTGGTGCTGTGGGAAGGGACTTGGACCTGCCTAGGCTCATTGTGCTGGGCTCTTCTGACTCCCCAATGGGAGACCTCGATTTGGGGGATGTGGGGTAGCTTGGAAGAGAGGGATGGGGGTGGGAGGAGGGAGGAGGAGGGGTCTGTGGATAGTATGTGGAGTGAGTAGAAAATTTCTTAATAAAGAAAAATGAAAAAAAAAGTTGAGTTTATGAAAAAAGAC